GATCTGACTCTACTACCTACTAGCTGGGGGGCCCGGGTAGGTTCTGTAACTTGTCTGGGCTTTTAATATTTTCTCATCTCTGGATTAGGATTAAAATACCTACCTCACAGAGTTATTGGGAGAGTTAAATAAATGAGTTGACATATTTTTTTATTGTACTTAGCACTGTGCCTGATATCTAGTAGGCATTTAGTAAAAGTATATCTTTCAAGCTTGCTTCCTTTTAGTTCATTTTTTAAATATTTTATTTTATTGATGTTTTTACAGAGAGGAAGGGAGAGGGAATAGAGAGTTAGAAACATCAATGATGAGAAACATTGATCAGCTGCTTCCTGCACACTCCCCACTGGGGATGTACCCGCAGCCAAGGTACATGCCCTTGAACGGAATCGAACCTGGGACCCTTCAGTCCGCAGGCCGACGCTCTATCCACTGAGCCAAACCGGTTAGGGCCAGGTGTAACTTTTAACACCGTTCACTCTTATACTTCCTGGGCCACTCTGATTTTGTTACTGACTTTCTCCTTCCCAACCGGTAAAAAAGGAGTTAACACACTACTTTAAATATTTTGGCTGCAGCCTGTGACCTGGTGCCCTTTGAAATGCTTACCGTGCCGCCTCTTTTATATTATTTTATTGATGTTTTTACAGAGAGGAAGGGAGAGGGAATAGAGAGTTAGAAACATCAATGATGAGAAACATTGATCAGCTGCCTCCTGCACACTCCCCACTGGGGATGTACCCGCAGCCAAGGTACATGCCCTTGAACGGAATCGAACCTGGGACCCTTGAGACCGTAGGCCGATGCTCTATCCATTGAACCAAGCCAGTTAGGGCTAGATCATATTTCTTTAACTATATGTTTCATGTCTTCCCAACAAGACTGAGAGCTTCTTGGGGCAAGGACCAGGAGTCATTTCAATTTGTGAATGCATAGCACAATTTTGGGCCAATAAAAAGTAGCCTGTATTCGTTGGTCCAGAAGTGCCCAACACATATGACACTATTTGAGATATAGAACACAAGCTCACAAAAGAGGATTTCAGGCAGAGGGCAGCATGAGCAGAGGCAGCTGTCTCCATTTCAAATGGAACAAAGCAGCCCAAAGGGTGATGGTTACCAGTCCCATGAGCCACTGGTGGCTTCTGTTATATATCTCATTATAGGCTATTGGGTTGCATTAAAACTATTAGGTAGATCACCTCTGAGTCCATACTCCCATTAATCCATTCATTCATCCACTGCTGATTGATTGCCTCTTAAATGCATCCCCATGAAGATTCTGTTTCTACATAGCTTCTTTAGTAGAAGGAAAGCTATAGGTTGGTGATGGGAAGGGCCAGGGGTGTGCAGGGAAATGCGGAATGGAATGTTGAAGATGTGGATCTGGAGACCTCATGTATCAGAAGCAGGTGGGGTAGACACCAACTCTCAGCTCCCATCCCCCAGAAATTCTGATTAATTGCTCTGGGATAATATTGAAACAACAAACAAACAAAAGAAACTCCCTAGGTGTTGGTTCTGATGCACAGCCAGGGATAAAAACTGTTGACGCAGATGCTACACAAATGCTCCAGGAAACTTCCTTCCAGGGTGGTGGTACCTGGCAAGCCTCGAGGAGGGTCCGTGTGCTGGGCTGGACCTAGGAGCAGAGCCCTAGGCTGGAGGAAGTGGGAGACACTGAGCAGAGGCTGATCAAACATGGGCTCTCTTTCACCTCTTACCTTCCTACTTCCTGAGAGGAGAGTAACAAGACTAGACTCCCTGGGGACCAAGGATTCCAGGAGAGCCAGGAAGGCAGAGCTGTGTAGAGCTTAGGAAGTAAATCATTACCAGAAAGAATCCCACTATTGCCCTATTTAGAAATAGCGTGGAGTCACAATTTGATGATGACCTCACAGATGTGATCATCTTGTGAACAGGCTTTGAACTTGCAAAGTACACAGCCCATTTACTCCTCTTCCTACTGCAAGTCTGGGTAGGTCAAGGCTGATGAAGCATTTCCAAAAGAGCAGTTGATCTTAAGCACTGGACGTTTCTAAGATTTGGGAGAACTGTTTCCTGACGTGTTTCAGGCCCATTTCACAATGCCAGCTCCTGCAGGAGGATGTCCTTAGAGACTGCTCCAAGGAACCCAGACCCTCATCCTCCCAATACCGGCTGCCAGGAATCCCGATGACCTATTCCTGGCATATGATGTCAGGGTGCTCAACTCTCCTCTCCCCAACTCCAGGGACAGGAAGATAGAGTCAGAGGAGGCTAGGAAGTTGGTCATCACCATAGGGTTGGGGCTGGGCATGAGAACATGTTTCCCAGCTTTTTCTAAGACACAGCCGGCTCACATAGGTTGGTGAGTTTTAGTACAGAATGTTCAGGACTTATCATTTTAAAAGAGAAAGATATTGGGAGTGATATCAGATCATTTTCTCTCTCTTGCTGTTCGTCTCTGTATCTCTTAGCGGTTATCTGTCCTTAACTCCAGGAATTTGGAGTAAACAAGAACCACTACTCTAGGGGATTTATGACTAAGGGAGCGCTACTGAAGACACATTGCCATGAATGTGGGATAATGCTCTTCACTTTTAACTGGATAAATTTGGACTTTTGTCTCCATTAGCCAAGTTAAAGATCTTCTACTGCCTTTCTCACAGGCAAGAATAGCTTTGAGCTGGAGGGTTAGGTAAGACAAGTGTGTCTTCAGGTTTCCCCCCTCATGCAGTAGCAACCTCAAAAGCTGAACTGATCTTCAGCTGGTATCACTGTTCTGATTCGTCAGGCCCATGACGTACTGGTTGTCACATATTTTGAAATGACCTCTCTCTCAAAGGGGGGGCATTCTCCTTTCAGGTGGCAAACCTGTGTTGTGTGACTGGTGACTGCACACAGCTGTCATCACTCTTCTGCACCCAGAGAACCCCCTCCCCACAGTGGGGTCCTTCCTACTTCTCTATTTCTATTGACTTGTGATTGTTGTTGTCACCAAATACTTCCTTTGAGTAAAGAATGTTGATTTAGTCAAGAGATGACCTAGGGAAGGCTGAGGAAGATGAGGACAGTAGACAGTAGTGGATGGTGGGCTATACAGAAGGACAAGATGTAACCACTTAGGGGCATTGTAATTCTTGCTCACTTGATGAAAGGCCAACGTTGGAGAATGGTGGAAAGATATGGAGTCAGCTTAGGTCCTTCTAATACCTGAGTCCCTCCATGGGTGTCACAAATTAAGGGAGGTTCATTAACCATTCAATTACTAAGTGTCATCCCCTGATTAACTGCCTCAGTATGGAATCAGCCAACACTATGTTGGGGCCTGAAAAAATTAAGTTGCCTCCTACATAACTCCATTCATCCTGGGAACAGTTGCTATCACCACACTG